AGCTGAGCTGCATAATCATCAGAGGCTTTTTAAAAAAACTTTTAAAAGCATTTTTTCTACAACTTCTTCCGCTGAAAAAAATGCTTTTAAAAGGAAAAAAAAAAACCTCTGATGATTGCGCGGCTCAGCTGGGATCTCAGAGGCTTTTCAAAGCATTTTTTTCTGCAACCTCTTCCCTGGAAGAGGTTGCAGAAAAAAATGCTTTAAAAGTCTCTCTGACATTCCCAACTGAGTTGCCTGATCGTCAGAGAGCCTTTTCAAAGCATTTTTTTAAGCATCTCTTCAGCTGAAGAGGTTGCAGAAAAAAATGCTTTTAAAAGTCTCTCTGACGATCAGGCAACTCAGTTGGGAACGTCAGAGAGACTTTTAAAGCATTTTTTTCTGCAAACTTTTCAGCGGAAGAGGTGATTTAAAAAATGCTTTGAAAAGGCTCTGATGATCCCAGCTGTGTTCCTGATCGGCAGAGGTTTTTCAAAGCATTTTTTTGCATTTGCAGAAAAAATGCTTTGAAAAGTTAAAATTAAAAAAAAAAGTTGGCCACACCCACCCAGTCACATTACCTGCCCCCCCACCAAGCCATGCCCACAGAACCGGTAGTAACAAATTTTACATTTCACCCCTGCTTTTTATAATCATGGGGCAAGGGCATGAGCAAAGTTTAATATTTTTCATCACAATATGAAGGTTTGTTCCATGTTTGTGAATTCCTTGCATTTGAATTAAGTACATTGTTAATAAATTTGGCTTCTCAATCCATCACCACCTACTTCAGAAAGCATTAATATTATTTTTTAAATGTTTAATCTCCACATTGAAGTATTTTCATGTGAAATGGACAAAAAGTGGATGTATTAACTATTTGCATTTGCAGTATAATGCTAACATTGAGCAGAGGCTAATTTAAGTACAATACAGGTAGTCCTCGACTTAACCATTTGTTTAGTTACAATGCCACTGAAAAAGGTAGTTTATAAACGTTTTTCACACCTACGACTCTGGCAGCATCCCTATGGGTCACCTGATCAAAACTCAGACGTTCAACAACTGATTCATATTTATGCTGTGTCCCAGGATCATGTCATCACCTTTTGTGACCTTCTGACAATCAAAGTCAATGGGGAAGCCAGATTCACTTAACAATCATGGTACTTACTTAACAATTGCAGTGATTCAGTTAACAATTGTGGCAAGAAATGTCGTAAAATGGAGCAAAATTCACTTAACTGTCTTGCTTAGCAACAGAAATTTTGGACTGACTGTATATGAAAGATTATCCCAAATTATGGCTTGCTATAATCATAGGTATAGAAGAGTTAGAAAAAAAATGAAAAATGGTTCAAATTACTGGTTTCTCATAAACCCTGATAAGCTGATCTTTGAAACTGAACTTTTGTGCTTGAAACGTTTTCAGAATAATTTGAATTTCAAGTGTTTTGTACCTTATAAAGACAATCATTTAGTTATGTGAATTCTCTGGAATTATGTCATCAGATATCTTACAGTTTTTTTGTATTTTTTATCTGCTGCACTTGATTCATAAGTACAACCCACTGACTGACTTTCTTTCATTTATATGGTATAATCTATTTGTCATATATAGAATTCAAAGTGTTTCTTGAACGTAAGTATTTTCTGAATATTTTTTATGTTACAGGAATCCACAGAAATAGGCCTTTCAAATATTTTTCGCCAAGAAAACACAACGGTATCATCCAGACCATCTGTAGAACAGTTTTCCAATCTTATTAAAACTAGTCTTCATTATCCTGAAACATTTAATCACTCCTTTAATCAGAAAAGGTTTGAATATTTCTTTTTTTTTCTCTATAGACTGTAACCAGCATTAACCTTCCAGCCATTTTCCTTCCTTTTTTAGAAATATATGGCACTCATTATAACATTCCACTGCAAAGCATAAAATATTATTTATACAAGTCTAAAAGTGAAGCCTATTTTCTCCACTGAACATGAACAAATATATTTGCTTAGGGAGTGATTTGCTTGAGGACTACTGCTAAAGAAGTACATCTGTGCTGATAAGATGGAAAGAATGAAGTTTGTTTTCTGCAGGGTTCAAATTCACCCTGGGGGTGTGAGACGATATTCCAGGGGATGCGAAAATCTGTGTTTAGAAGTTTCAAAATTACAGTGTATATGCATAATTATATGCATATAATTATTTTTTAAGGGGTGCGAGAATATATCAGAAGCTTTCTAGGGGTGCGGGGTATAGAAAAGATTGGGAACACCTGCTCTAGCTTGATTCCTTTTTGAAACAACACAGAATACCTAACAAGAAAATCCACAATAAATTATTTTCTTGGGCTCTTGTATTGAAATAAAATAACTTTTAGCTAACCTTCCATGATATTTTATTATGTTACCTTGAAATCCTAATTTTTAAGAATCCATAGCCCTAGCTATTCTGTTCCCTATTTTTACCTTAAGAAACATTTCTTATGTACAATTTTTAACAGTAATTGACACAATCTTTGTATAAACGTGAGACAGAAGTACTCTTGGGAGGCTTATGGGTTGGATCCACAGTTGCATCCAGTAGAATTTTTTTCTCAGTAGAAATAATTGCTTGAGATTCTTTGCTACTGTAATCCTGTGCCTTCTGAGAAGCTGCTCAAGGGAGGCTTTCTGGGAAAGAATGGTAAATTATACTAGGTATTTAATGAGAGTAAGCAAAAAATGCTTTCCCATCATTTTTTCCAATATAAAATATTTAATTAAACTCAATTCCTTTTATGAATGTAAGAAGCCCTTCTCTTCACAGATAACGATACCTAAATTTAATATATAAGTTCTTCTTTAAAAGAGATGTGCAAGTTGATATTTGATTTATATTTCAAATTGGAATTCTAATAGAAACCTGTCAAATAAAATATATTTCCATTTATCCCGCAAGCAGAACATGCTGTTCTACTTTTTTTTTTCAGAATGGTCCATTTTTGTTTGGCAGTTGACTGCAGCTTCTTACTTTGTTTAAAACTAGCATATTTCACTGTTGTTGTTGTTTTTAAAAAGCAAGGGTAATTGTGCTCTACAATTGATTCAACTGAATAGTTGATCTAGTTGCAATTGATGCAAATTTTATTTCCAGCCTTTGTATAGTTCCAGTTACTCTTCTACTTTCAAATTGTTCTGAAGCTGACGTTGATGTGATAATTGATCTGCGACATAAAACAACGAGGTAATTTTTACAGCCTATAAGCCATTTATACTTGGGAAGATTCTTTGAATTAGATTCCTAGAGAAGATTCTTTAGAATATTATATCCTGTCTAAGAAATTTAAATATCAGAGCTTATCAAAGCATATTTCTAATTTGTTTTTGGTTTAATGGTTTTACAAGTTTCAGATTGGTGAAGTACCAGAAGGGGCATGTTTAGTTAGAACTAAGAATTACTGATAACCTAAATAACTGCATGATGTCAGTGTGAAGCTATTAGCCTGACCTGGGATGCTTAAAACCTTTTTCATATAATGGTAATAGAGGGTTAGGGTAGTATTATAGATTTAAGTAATAGAATTTTCCCATTTATAATTTTATACTCGGTGCAAATATTTTACATAAAATTCTCGTTAACATCCACAAATGATGTGTTGAGGACAAATAATACATTGTTTAGAACAAGGGTATAAGCAGGAAGAAATTGTGACCCCTGTGCTTTCTCTTTTCCAGTCCAGAAGCTCTTGAAATCCATGGTTCATTTACCTGGCTTGGACAAACACAATACAAGCTTCAGCTAAAAGCCTATGAAGTATCTAGCCTTCAGTTAAAGGCTTGCTTTGTTCATACTGGAGTGTATAATCTTGGAACCCCACGAATATTTGCCAAGCTTTCCCATCAAGTTACTTTATTTGAAACAAGTCAACAGAATTCAGTGCCAGCCCTGATTATTATTAACAGTATTTGACTTATGAGTTTGTTTTAAAAACAAAACTAAGTACTGTTATTTCTTTGAATTTGCAACCTTGGCATATAACCTGTTAAAAAGTTGTAGATAAATCTTCCACATAATATGATTACATGCCTATTTTTATTTCATAATACCGGGCATCTTGAATTCCAGTTTTTTCTTTTTTAAAAATGTTTCATAAGTTAAATGGAAATAACCACGTAACTTTTAAGATTCCTAAGAATTAAATTGGGAAACCCTTGGACATCTTTACTGCTGAAAAAAATGTACAGCATGTGTTAATATTTGTGGCTGTATTAGATGGCAATTTAGGAAAAAAGTTCCTTGTTGGCTTTTTTGAGTAAGCCATAGATTGATAATTATATCATGTTGTTTCTGTGAAGTTAACTAGGATCCAATTTATTCCAGTCCAATTCTTCTGTTTTTCATTTTCAATTTTTAAAAAGTTGAATTTGAGACTTGCCTCATATACTGTTAAGCAATTCTCATTGCAATTGCATATATAACTCCACTTAATATTCTACAATTTTTGACAGCAGTTTGAATTCATCTCAGTACAAAATTCACTGTTTCAAACAAAGAAATGTTTTGTCAGTTAAATCCATTCACTTTATTATGTAACTAGAGCAATTCAGTTGATCTGTTTTTTTAAAGAAAGTTAAGCTTTTCAAGAAATGTATTATATTTATAATAGATTTGCTGTAAATAAAATAAATAAAATAAAATTGTGCATCATATTCACTACATTCCCCACCGTGGGTTTTTTTAACTGTAAAATGAAGGTATCAGGATGGGCAAATGTTTTGTGTACAGACTAACCAATTTCAATTATCAGTGTCCAATCTGAAACATGTTTTTGCAAGATTTAAGGTTTTGAGGTGAGGAAACTAGAAACAAATAAGGCCATTGCCAGCCACTAAAAATGAAGAGGAAATAAAATTGATATAACACATTGTCAATTTTTATCAATGGTCCTAAAAAGAGATGATTATTCATATGACCATTAATGTAGTAAATATTCTTGAAAATAATTTGATGAAACAAGAGAAACAAGAATACATACATACATGCACATATACAAACGTAACATTTATTACAGTATATTCTTATTTCAAACCAGGGAGCAAAAGAAAAAAAAATCTTAGTATAGTTACACTCACATTTATTGTTCTACAGTAGGTTGTGAAATGAGATGGCTTAAATTTATTTCATTCTTGAGTATTCCTTTAGTAATTTAAGAAAAAAATAAACCATCAGCATTGTGCCAAATATGAGAACAAGAAAACTAATTAGCGCTTTCCCAACACTGACCTTAGATTTGGGGGGGGGATCCATGAATGTACACACTGAAAACTGTGGTAAGGTCACAATAGCTATATAACCTATCTACAATCGTAGCTCTGAAGACATAAAAACCATTGTATTGTGGAAAAAGTATTCTATTTCTTTCATTCCAGTTTAAAACTTGGTACTTTGAATTAACTGATGGTAAAGACTTGTTTCCTTTGGGTTGCTTGCAACTCACATAATTATATTTAGTCCATGCAATGTGTGGAGAGCCTGGAAAATTTGCTAATTGTTTGATCCAGTTCTGGGCCTCTGACAAACAATTGGCCTGTACTTCAGTCAAGAGATAATCATAATTGTGCATTCCATTTATTTCATACAGTACAAAATCCGCATGAACGTTTTCCACAAATTCATTGTCATCCCATAATTCAAGTTTTGGAAGCCACTGGTTATCATAATAGAAGAGAAGAGGACATCCCCAAATGTCATATTTATAGGTCACATTAAGATTGTCCTGTTCTAATTTTTTTCTACCAAGGAACAAAGGATCATATAGTTCCTTATCAATTGAATAAACAAAATTCTGTAGTAGTCTTGGTTCAAAGAGACCTTGATTGCAACCTGTTGTTTTCTTTAAAATTCTGATGTGTTTCTTAGGTGGGCAGTCCACTGCAATAAGAGCTGTCAACGGATGCATGTCAATGCAGAATATCCCTTTGTTATAGATGTCCACAGTAACAGATGACACCTTCTTGAAGAGTGTTGAGTTCTGTTTTTCTACCATTAATTGTTGTTCTTCTAATTTAATTTTCAAGCTGTATTTAGTGTTTCCATTAAAAGTGTAGCCATCCTCCATAATGTGTGCCTCGAATGCCAAAACATATGGATTGCTCAACATTACATATGGATAAGCACCAGTTCCTGGCTTTGGTACAAACGTGGCATTAAAATGAAGCTGCTGCTTTGTATCAATATAATACATCCTGTTATGGAAATCACCCGTGAGGATCTCCATTGGACAGGATTGCAGTGGTGGCTGCACAGTCATGAGCTTAGCCTGGATGTTGAAGATGCATTTTTGAAAATGATAGTATCGAGATACATTGCTGGGAAATGGACGGATGATGCTAAGCATTCCAATATTTTCAAATAACATAGCTTCACAAGAAACATGGGATAAGGAAACATTTTTGTCTCCCAAATGTACCATTTTTCTAGCAACCATATCCAGGTTTCCGTAGAAAAGCTGAGTCTCAGTGAGGACTGCAAATTCATTACTAGAGGCAGCTGCAAAGCAAATACGTTCTGGAAGAGTTTTATTAGGATAGCTGTCTGTGGGTAGTACAGTAATAATATCTGTAGTCAGTCCATCATTTGAGGAGCTCATAAATGTTTTGTTAGTCCATAGCAAGATAAAACCTCTCATACCAGGAGGGAGTGTGCTTTCAATTATATAACCTTCTAAGAATTTTGACTTAAAGGATGTTCCTGTTTCATTTTTTATGGATTCAATATCTCCAAATATGAAGTATGCAGTCTCTGGATGACTGGCATCCTTGAGGAGCATTCCAAAATTTGCTGAGGAAGCAAAAACATAGATACCAAGTAGAATGCCATCCTTCAATGGTCTACTTTTTAAAGATTCAAATATGTAGCCCCCATTTTGTGAATAAAAGATCTCACTGTTGCTAACCAAATTGCCTGAGTCGTATGCCAGAACAAGTTCATTGACTTTGTCACAGGCAGGATCATTTAGAGCAAAGCAGCATTTGTAGCTGGCAAGTTCAGTAACCGGATGAGTAATCCCCTTTGAATGCAGCCATCTCTTCCATGTGGCATAGAGATAGAGAAAGACAACGCCATTCACCACTGCCACAATCGAATTCTGCCCAAAGACAGCACTACTAACAATGGCAGGTGGCCTTGTAAAACCATTGGGGATGGTTAGAGGGAGAATGCTGCTCTCAAACATATCAAGGCTGATGAATAACCTTTCTCCAAGATAAAGAGCTGGGGAAATACCACGGAAAAAATGATTTCCACATGGGTGATGCAATATATAAGGGTGATTGTGGCTGAAATTAAGCAGCATACCTGATGGTGACGTGACCAAATGGTGAGACTTAACTGAATAAATCATTTGCTCGTAGCTGCATGGCCAGGAGTCAACTGCCATAATGGGGGACAGCCAAAACATCACTAACAGGGACAATAACATGATGTGGCTCCTTTAGTTTAACTGTTTCTCTTGAGGTTCTGTTTGCAACGGTCGTTGAGGGAGATGGTTCTAGAAGGCAGTTGGCATCAAAAGGCTCTGAAATATCTACTGTGTCATAAAGCACACCCGGGAGCTGTTGGTAACAGGCCATATTACTAAAGAAAAACTGATGGATAACATCAATTGAGATCTTTCTGTTCTAAATATTTTCTGTCAAGGAACATTAGCAAATAGATTGTTATCAACTAAATACATCAAATTATTTTTTACCTTCACGTTTATACAATTCTGATAGTCTTAGGTAGAGAGTCAGTGGATGCATACCTGTATTTGTCTGTCTGTCTCTCTGTCTCTGTCTGTCTGTCTGTCTGTCTGTCTGTCTGTCTGTCTGTCTGTCTGTCTATCTATCTATCTATCTATCTATCTATCTATCTATCTATCTATCTATCATCTACCTGAATTTAGAAACCACCTTCCTCATAGAATGACTCAATCAGAATATGCTTTCATTGTAGATATCCACAGTGACAGTGAAGAACATGCCTTTATAAATATTATCCAGGAATTCAGCTTAGTTTTCAAAGATTATTTACTATTTGTATTAAAAGTGTAGCTATCCTCTATTCCCGTGATGGCAAACCTATGGCACATGTGGCAGAGGTGGCACACAGAGCCCACTCTGTGCGCACACATGCACGCAGTCACCAGCTGCTGGGATTAAAGGGTTTAAGCCCATCTGTTTCATTGTTGTTACACTTACAATAATATCTATATCAGAAACTTAGCTTATCGTCTCTAACAAAATTATAGTCACTTTTTTAACTACCCATTAATTTTCAAGCTTTAAGTGTCAATTTTTCAAGCCCCATCACATAGTTTCGTAGCGAAGCACGGGTATCCAGCTAGTATAATATATATTATATATATTATATCTCTATTACTATCGCTATCTATCTATCTATCTATCTATCTATCTATCTATCTATCTATCTATCTATCTATCTATCTATGAATGACACCAATAAGGATCTTTCCTAACTGAATTACGACAGAGGTTGGAAATTCATAAATATTCCATGCGTATTGCTGGTGCATTTCCAAAAATAACACTACAGAAATATTGCTGGGAGCACGGTAGAAGACGTATGTGTAGAAAAACTTTAGATGGTTTGGACACCTCTTAATATAACTTCCCAATATAAATTCTAAGACATTTGGGAGATATCAAATAAGATACTTGTAATAGAATTAATTGATTAATCATTATTATTTAGTAATTACTAACCAGGAATAATTGTTGTCCAAATCTAAGCTTACTATTGTGATTTATAATCTCAGTCATACTCACATTAACTTTTTATAACTTTCCCACCCAATTTATACTGTACCAAAAGAAAAGTGTTAAAAATGGCTAAAGGTAAGAATGTAGTTTTTAAATAAAAATTGAATTGTAAAAACACACTGGAAAAATATTTAAACCAAAAAGCATTAAGTACAGACATGAATTGGCCAATGTCATATAGAGATAGTCCTTGATTTACGACCCCAACTGAGCCCTAAATTATCTTTGTTAAACAAGGTAAGTGAATTTTAGTGTATTTTATGAACTTTCTCAACACAGTTGTTAAGTGAATCACTGCAACTATTAAGTTAGTAGCACAGTTGTTAATCAAATCAGGCTTCCCCATAGACTTTGCTTGTCAGAATGCCTCAAAAAGTGATCATATGACCCAGGACACTACAACTGTCATAAGTACATGCCAGTTGCCAAGCATCTGAATTTTGATCCCATGACCATGGGGATGCTACTATAATGGGAAGTGTGAAAAATGACCATAATTCAATATTTTCTGTGCCATTGTTATTTTGAACAGTCACTAAACAGATGGTTGTAAGTTTAAGACTACTTTATCTCACTCTTTTTTGTTTTTTATACCATTCTGATTCTCTACTTTCCATTATTATAGTAGTTGCTTCTTCTCTGTAACAGTTTCCTCAAAAGAATAATCTGGGGTTCTGGCATATGCATTTTGGCATTATTTAAATCAAATGCTTTGCAACAGGAAAGTAAATTTACTTCTTATCTTTTTCTTTCTGTCCCATTGTTAATTTTACATTAACTGCATGATCTCACATTCCTTTTCTTAGGAATTGTTGCACTACTTACACATTCTCTTACATCTTCCTCCTCCAGTGTATACCTTCTCTAAGGGAATATACACTGTTCTTTCCAAGGCTGTCATTAACTGAATGGTTGTAAGTCAAGGACTACCTGTAGATCTGGAAGATCTAAGAAAATCTAAATAAAGTCAAAGGATGGAAGGGCTGAATGATAAATAGAGGTCAGCAGACATGAGATCAGTTAATGTCTTGAGCAGATTTGTTATGACTCAAAGTAATTGTGTGGTCTTCAGGAAAAGCCTAGAAGACTAGCAATAAGAGACTTTAATAGGGCTTCAGCACTTTATAGTAGTATCTCTCAATCAGGGGTGAAATCTACTTACCTTCCCTACCAGTTCGGAAGTATGCGCTCTTGAGTGCGCGCCATCGTCACACTTGACTTTTGACCCTCTGTGCATGCACAGAAGGCTTTTGCATGCATAGAGGGTTAAAAACCAGGAAGTAAGGACGTCCGGGCGGGTGGGCGGGTGGGCGGAGCCTTGCGCTGCTGCCGCTACTGGTTCACCGAACCATGCGCCACTGCCACTACCGGCACGCACGAGATGGGCAGAACCGGCAGGATTTAACCACTGCTCTCAATCTCAGCAATTTTAAGAGGCATGGACTTCAACTCCCAGAATTCCTCAGCTACTTTATTATGAACCCTTAGTTTCCTACTCTCTTGTATCACTATCTCCATTTTTTCCTATATAAAAGGCACACTGTTTTGGTATAAAATGCATATTCATAAACAATTTACAAAAGTATTTGGGCACACTTTAGATATAAAGATGATAAAATATGATTTAATATGGGAAAAAGAGCAACTTGGAAATCATACAGCATAATTGTTTTAGAGATGTAAAAAGAAGTTGGGATTAGTCACTGCCTCAGCTCCAAAACATTTGTTCAGTGAAAATAATTGGATACAGAGGTAATAGGCTAGTTTTTGTGGGCAAAATCAAACCTGTTATTCCTGATTGTTATAAGGATTCCTATACCTGACCTGGTTTATTTCAGGGAGGAGGGGGAGATGTTGCATTTCTTCCTACTGTAAGCATTTATGGATTGTCGGTCTGGAAGTTTTTCTCTGGTGGCAGGTTAGGTGGTGACATGGTATAGATAGGCCTTGAAATGGTAACGCTACATTGCACATGATTGAATCCTTGAGTTAACCTGATTGTCTAGGTTTAACCTTCAAAAATAAAATAGAATAGAATAGAGCTGGAAGGAATCTTGAAGGTCTTCTAGTCCAGCCTCTTGCTCAAGCAGTAGAACCTATCCTATTTCAGATTAGTGTCTGTCTAGTTTCTTCTTAAAAACCTCCAGTGATGGAGCGATTCCTGAAGGCAAGCTATTCCATTGGTTAATTGTCCTCACTGTTAGGAAGTTTCTCCTTAATTCACTCTTTGGTTAGTTTCTAACCATTGTTTCTTTCCTGCTTTCTGGTGCTTTGTAGAATAATTTGATCCCCTCTATGTGGCAGCCCCTCAATTACTGGAATACTGCTATCATGTCGCCCCTAATTCTTCTTTTCTTTAGACTAGCCAAAGCCAAATCCTGCAGCCATTTTTCATATGTCTCCATGCCTTTGATCATCTTAGTTTTTCCAAAGTCTCAACATCTTTTTTGTAGTATGGCGACCAAAATTGGTTGCGATATTCTAGGTGTGGTTTTATTAGGGTTTTATAAAGTGGTACTAGTACTTCCTGTGATCTTGAGTCTATGCCTCTGTTTATACAACCCAGGATTGTATTAGCTTTTTTGGCTGCTGCTGCACACTGCTGGTTCATATTCAAACGATCATCCACTAGGACTCCAAGGTCCCTCTCACCGTTACTATTTTTGAGGCAGGTCTCACCTAATCTGTACCTATATTTTGATTTTTCCTGTCTAAATGTAAAACTTTGCTTTTCTCCAGATTAAAATTCCTTTTGTTGGATAGGACCCATTGTTCAAGTTTGTCAAGATCTGTTTGGATCCTGAGCTTGTCTTCTGGGGTGTTGGCTATTCCTGCCAGTGTAGTGTCATCTGCAAATTTGATGAGTTCCCCTTCTATTCCCTCATCTAAGTCGTACTGGGCCAAAGACGGAGCCTTGTGGTACACCACTACTTACTTCTCTCCATGTGGATGTAGTACCATTAAGGACTACTCGTTGAGTACAGTTTGTCAGCCAGCTACAAATCCATCTGGTTGTGATGGTGTCTATTCCACATTTTTCTAGCTTACCAAGAAGTAGGTCATATTTTGTCGAATGCCTAACTGAAATCTAAGTATACTATGTCCACAGCGTTTTGCTAGTTTACTAATTATAGTCATTTTATCAAAGAATGAAATAAGATTGGTTTGGCATGATCTGTTTTTAACAAACCCATGTTGGCTACTAGTTATAACTTTATTTCCTTCTAGTTATTTGCAGATCTGTTTCTTGATTATCTTTTCCAGGATCTTTCCAGGTATTAGACCGATTGGACTAGTTTCCTGGGTCTGTTTTTTTCCCCTTTCTTGAAGATGGGAACCACATTAGCCCTTTTCCAATCCTCAGGTACTTCCCCGGTGCTCCAGGATTTTTGAAAGATATGATACAATGGTTGTGAGATAACATCTGCCAGCTTTTTCAGAAATCTGGGAAGTAATCTGTCAAGTCCCTGTGAGTTATATTCGTCAAGGTCAGATAGGAACATTTGGGATACTTTGGGATACTTTGGGATAGTCCGATAGGAACTATAAAACATGAAACCTGCTCATTTCGAGGCCATCTCTTCTACTGCTTCCATGCTCTTGAGTTCCATTAGGAAGATTTGATTCAAGACCTAATCAAGCAGTGGGGCACAAACTGTTCAAATTGTACCAATTCTTCTATTTCCTCAACTCTTGGCTTCTGTATATTTGCTACTTCTTTTATTTACTTACATATTTACTTCTTTTCACACTATGGGGGAAAATCTGATAGGAATTTAAGTTCCACCTAAACATCTGAAATTTTTATGTACTTTATGATGTCAGTTTTAAGTTGGATCTTATCAAAACTGTCCATTTTTTACCAAGGCAATAAAAAGGCAAAGGAAAGGGAGAAGTTAGAGTTGTCACTTCCCCCTCCCCTTCCACACTTCTCTCCTTTCCCCTAGGTGAGTTAAAGTATTAGTGGGTCAGTATTCACCTGGGAATCAACTTCACTCCTCTTCTTTGTACCAAACAAATAAGATTTCTCACTCAGCTCATCCAGTCCTGTGGAGTTCTTAAACAAATTGGTTTGCTTTTCTTCAGAACGAAAGCGGTGAATCTTTTCTTTTCCTCTTGGCAAAAGCACAAAATGAAGACATCTTCTGGTTAGTGGTGGCCTCACAAGTTGAAGCCCCCATGCTCCTATCAGTGGCTTCAAGGTTGCTTTCAGATCCTCTGCCGAGATCCTTGAAGACTTCCACTAGTCTCCCTTCAGCCTCCTTGTCTCTCTTGTCCTCTCTCATGTAGGAAGAAATATCCTTCTGGGTTCAGCTCCAAGTGGGGAACAAGTCACTGGAAACATGGAGATTGCTTGGAAAGAGGGTTTAATGGTGGACAGGATCACATGGTTTGAGTTCCTGAACAGAAAAGGGGCAGAGATGCTGAGTGTGCCTTGGTTTTATGCACTCTCTGTGCTTTGAACTTCCTGGAGTGGAGGAAGAGTATCCTGATTGGTTGTCAGACTCTCAGGGGGTGAGGGTCTTAGCTAGCCTTGCTGGCTGATATAATCTTCCCAGGTGCCATGTGGTGAGTTTCTGTTGCTAGATGGCTCCTATTGTGTTGCAGATGATGGTCCATTGACAAAGATTGAGTTTCTGCCTCTGGCCCATTGACAAAGGGTGGGGGCAGGAAGGTGGGAGCTGCTTTGTCTTTAAAACATGTTTCTCTATTTCTCATACAGGGAAACATAATATTCTGCCTTTTTAATATTTCCTAAAATATTTCATTTTTCTAGGAGAGGAGTGGGTGCTAACTTCCTACACTCATCTCTGTCTCTCCTCATTTGTCCAATTATGTTTCTTTTCTTCCATTTCATGCCTGCTCCTTATGCCTCTCCAAACTATTGTCTTTTTTTGTGATTGCTCATTATGTTCCTACCTACCCATGTACACCTCACTCATTACTGCATCCCTGTCAGGATTCCATATCATCTGAATCTCCATCACTTGGGGAATTAAGGGTTATATTATACACACAACTGTCTCCAAGAGGTGAGGTGGGGGAGTGAGAGACAGCTGTCTTCCACCCGTCCCTTGGAGAAGAAATAAATTAGGGCCTTTCTCAGCATCCTGTACAATATCTATTTTCCCCTCTGCTGACCACAGCAGATTGTTAGAAGATTGTATAGCAAGACTGAAGCTTCTCTCCTAGCAGGTTTCCTAGTGCAGGCAATTTTTGGCAGTAACGATTATTTAAGGCACCGGAATATCCCAACTTCCCCCCTTTCTTTTTTATGGAGGATACCACCAATAGTTGCCTCTTAGTCGTTGCATCCTCGGCTTGACTATAACCCCGGCGGACTTGGGCGGCTGGCGCGAGTGGGCAGCCGGGGCTTCAGGAAGCGGCGCGCGCTCCGGCTCGTTCCCCGCAGTTCTGCAGTCCCTCGCAGCCCCGCGCAGGGAATCCGGGGCGCGCACGCCCACGATCGTCGCAGTCCAGGCGCCTGCCCGGCCGCTCGTTCCTAAGCGAAGCGATGGAGGGCTAGGTGGGGGTTTCGGCGGGAAAGAGAGAGAGAGAGAGAGAGAGAGAGCAGGAACCGTCGCCGTCGCCGTCGCCGCTCGCCTCTCTCAGCCGACAGGAGAACCGGGGCGGCCAGGGCGGCGATGGGGACCGGGGAAGCGACGAGTTCGCCGCGGGTCGAGCGGACGCGGGAACCGAGGAGGAGGAGGAACCGCCACACCTGAAGGGGCAACGCCGGGCGCCGCTCTCCACTTTGGCCGGTGGGACTTTCGCGATCCCCGATTGACTGAACGGGGACCGAGCGAGACGGGGTCCTTTTGGCTGCCGGGGGGCTTCGGGACCCACTGGGGTACGGTCTGCTCGTCCCTGTCACCTGCGTCACCAAGCGTCCCCCCTTTCGTCGAGAGCCACCCCCACCCCCCACCCGAGAGGCTCCGCTCCACTCAACACGCCCCCTCCCCAGGAGAGCCTCCCCACCCTGGGATGCCATGAGTCATCCCTGCTCCTGATGCTGTTGCTGCTGCTGCTGCCCCGCTGCCGCCGGCGGTCTGGAAGCTGCTTCCCCGGCGTCAGTCCGGACCCTATTCAGTGGGCAGAGCTTTGCCCGGGTAGCGTAGAGGGCCTCGGGGAGTGGTCCCTCCTGCCTTGGAAGAAGGAGGAGGAGGAGGAAGAGGAGGAAGAGGATGCCTCTCTTCAGGACGGCGCTGCGAGTCTCCAACCGCTCCATTCTGGTCTTCATCTTCATCTTCTCCTTTTCTTCCTCTTGCCTTTATTTCATCTATGTGGCTCCCGGCATGGGTAAGACCGGCTCTCTCTTGCCCTCTTCCAAGGTCGGTGGGTGGGATTAAAGGAGGCGCCACCCTAGAGCTGCCTGAACCCCCCACCCCACCCCACCCTCCCCACGGGAAACAGCGGAAGCTGATTCTTCCAGGTGGGCTGGGAGACCCGATCGTGGGACCACCTGCTCTGCTCCGGAGATCTTCCCGATCTCAGTAGGGTTGATAAACCTTATCTTGGAGGTGATGGGAGGTGGCATGAGCTTGGGGTAGTTTTTTTCCCCCCACATCTATCTATGCCCCGGTGCAGTTTTGGTCAGATGAATTTGTGTGTAAGATCCCACATGCCGTAATTTAATGTGAGAATGCCAAAATAGAAAATATTATCTCTTGCTGCTTCTAGAGACCTATCCGGTGGACAGAATATGGGAAGCTTTTGGGGTTTGCTTTTTTTTGAAAGACCTGGCTATTCTTATGTCCTACTTGGGGGGGGGGGGGAGGAATGCACATTTTTCTAGAAATCATCGTATATTGCTTCAGAGGGATGAAATGCTGGCTTGAGTCAATATTCCAGATGTAAATTGTTGCTCCTGACAAAATCACACACACCTCCTTGGTGGTTGGTGGTGCTTGAATGTGTGAGATGACTGGAAGTTATTGGACTTTAGGTTTGTTGGACAATTGTAACTTAATGTCTCACCTTCAGAATCAATTATATCACATACATTTTCTATAATAATTCTTTGAACAGTTTCTTCTATCAAAATAGTATGTCTACCTCTTATTTGAGAATGGTTATGAACCATATGAAGAACGGTTGCAGGAACTGGGTATGTCTACTTTAATGAAAAGAAGGACAAGGGGAGGCATGATAGTGTTCCAATATCTCAGGGGCTGCCACAAAGAAGAGGGAGTCAAGCTATTCTCCAAAGCACCTGAGGGCAGAACAAGAAGCAATGGGTGGAAACTAATCAAGGAGAGAAGCAACCTAAAACTAAGGAGAAATTTCCTGACAGTTAGAACAATTAATCAGTGGAACAAGTTGGCTCCAGAAGTTGTGAATGCTCCAAGACTGGAAATTTTTAAGAAGATGTTAGATAACCATTTGTCTAAAGTGGTGTAGGATTTCCTGCCTAAGCAGGGGGTTGGACTAGAAGACCTCCAAGGTCCCTTCCAACTCTGTTATTCTATATTCTTATTTTAAATTTTTTGAAGGGGAAAGGTTAAAATATGCTTATTATTCTTTGGTAGGACTTATTTTTGTCTTTTGTGGGCTCTTGTTGATTGCTTGTTGAAAAACAGAAAAATGTTTTCTTTTTGATAACATTTTTCAATGCCATGCTGAATACAAAGCTTGCTTAGTGCTTACAATACACAGGTGCATCTTAACTGTTTTTGAAGAGATTTATTTCAAGAAAAAAAAATAGTATCATTTACATAGTGAGTTCCTTTCAGTGTTTGCTGCCTTTACAAGCAATTCATATAACATTTTATAGCACATATAATAGTACTTTACTCATGAATTTGATAACATTAATTTGGAAAACATCTGGCCCTTCCTCCCTCCCTCCCTCCCTCCCTCCCCTCTTTCTTTCTTTCTTTCTTTCTTTCTTTCTTTCTTTCTTTCTTTCTTTTTCTTTCCTTCTTTCCTCGTTCCTCCTTCCTTCCTTCCTTCCTTCCTTCCTTCCTTCCTTCCTTCCTTCTTTTCGGTATTTCTAGAGAAAAGAAACCTTTCTCTAAAGGAGGTCCAAATACATGAGGCCATTACTATGAAGACCTTGTGCTCGATGAAATAGTTTTTATGTGCTACAAAGCAAGGTCAGAAATACTGTTCCCAGGCTTGAGGCAGATTAACTGATGATAAATGGCCCTTCAAATCAGATTTTAAAAGCCAAAACTAGCATACTAAATGGAGATACAGCAAATGCATCTAATCATTATCTCTTCAAAGAGTTTTATCTCTTTGGAATTCAACCCTCAACATATGTCTTTCGTGAGCTATTAAAATGATTTGAATTTTTGTTCAGCATCCCTTTAACCACAACTGGAGTCCCTTACATGACAGAACAGCAAAATTTGCTTCATTCCTTCCAGTTGTTATATCTTCCATTTACCCTCAACAAAGCACTTGATCCACCTCCCACCATAGATGAAGTATTTAGTTCCATTACAAACTTAAGTCTGTATTCATCCATGACCCTGGCAGGTGGATATCTCCTGGAAAAACAAAGGGACAAATAATGATACCTGCATCACATCATCATACAATGTAAATATGCACTACAGGGGTGGGTTCTAAATTTTTTTACTACCGGTTCTGTGGGTGTGGCTTATTTTGTGGGCATGGTTTGATGGTCATGTGACAAACAATTCTTTAGGATTTAGCAGAGGTACTGGTCTACCGGGCCTTTAACTGCTTGCAGAGCCATACTGGTCTACCCATTTGTTTTTGGAGTGTTCCGGTCTACCTATTTGTTTTTGGAGCGCACTGGTCTACCACCACACTGCCTTTTACCGCTGATCAGCTGTAGGACGGCCCTTTGAAGCACTATGAGTTTAAACAGTTTTTTTGCCGCTCTGCCACCACCGAGAGCATCGGAAACCATTTTCAGGCAGCTTGGCCTCAATTGCCAATCTACCACCACTGAGCAGTTTACAAGGAGTGGATCAGTTCTAGCCGATCGGTTGGGAGGCTTCTTGGCTTCTCAATTTAAAGCTATGGTGTCTAGTTTTTTTTCTTTTTCTTTTCTCTGTCAAGTGAGCCCTGATTTTTCCCTTCTATCCAATCAGCTGGGATTCAGGAGGCAGCGAATAGATTGGGGGTGGGGCCAGGCAGAGGTGGTATTTACTGGTTCTCCAAACTACTCAAAATTTCCATTACTGGTTCACAAGAATTGGGAAGAACTGATAGCAACCCACCACTGATGCACTAACAATATCAATGAATGTGTATGGTCTTCATTTTGGTGTCATTGGACTAACTATGGACAGCCACTGCTCTCAGAATTACAAAGAAGATTTTCCTATGATATTGCCATCTGCAATATAATGGAGCTTCTGAGAAATAGATTGGGAATGAAACTTCATAAGGTAAAGGTAAACACTAGTAAACATTTGTGCTAGTTGTTCCCGACTCTAAGGGGTGGTGCTCATCTCCGTTTCAAAGCTGAAGAGCCAGCACTGTCCGAAGATGTCTCCGTGGTCATGTGGCCGGCATGACTAAATGCCAAAGGCACACAGAACGCTGTTACCTTCCCACCAAAGGTGGTCCCTATTTTTTTACTTGCATTTTTTACATGCTTTCGAACTGCTAGGTTGGCAGATGCTGGGACAAGTAACGGGAGCTCAGCCCATTATGTGGCACTAGGGATTCAAACTACTGAACTGCCGACCTTTCGATCGACAAGCTCAGCATCTTAGCCACTGAGCCACCACGTCCCTTCATAGAAGTCCATAAATGAACTTCATAGAAGTCCAGAAATAAAAATCCTTTCTGAATTCCTGACTTCCGGTGGTGATGCCAGGAACAAGAGAACAGTGCTCTGTTCTTGAAGTTCCAATATTTTCGATTAGGAAGCCGTCCCAGGCACTATTGACCTCGGAGGGGTCAATAGAAAAAAGAGGAAATCCTGAGGACCTCGGTGAGGATCAAAAATAATATGAGAACAATCATTAATGTCTTTGAATACTATGAGAAAAAATTGGACAAACAACTGGCCTTAATTTTCCTGGACACACAGAAGGCATTCGATAATTTAAATTGGAATTTTCTTATAATACAATTGGAGGTGATGGAATTTGGCGATAAATTCTTAAATATGATTAGGAAAATATACTCCTCTCAAACAGCAAAAATTATGATTAACGGAGATATGACAGAAAAATTTGAGATATCAAAGGGAGTGAGGCAAGGATGTCCTCTATCCCCATTATTATTTATAATATCCCTAGAAATCTTATTAAATGAAATTAGGAAAGGCAACGAAATAAAGGGTCTGAGAATAAAAAAAGAGAAGTATAAATTACAAGCCTTTGGCGATGATGTGGTGTTTATCTTGTAACAACCAGAAATAACTGAGCCCAAACTGTTAGGGAAAATAGAGGAATATGGAAGAGTGGCGGGTCTCAAAATCAATAAACAGAAAACAAAAGCATTAACGAAGAACCTGACAAACGCACAGGAGAAAGAATTGGAGGATAAATTAGGAATACAAATAGTAAAGAAAGTAAAGTATTTGGGAATTTGGCTCACCAACAAAGCAACATCAATTAGAGAGGACAATTATACTAAATTAATAAAACAGATTAAAAAAGACCTGGAAACATGAAGCAAACTACATGTCAAGTTTCAAGGTCGTCTTAAATAAATTGCATTTCAAACAAAGTCTTTGAAGAAAAACTCCTATTTATTAAGCATGACATTCTAACCCGACACCAATCAAAGCCAACACTGACTTCCAGCCCCAAAACCCTCCCTTTCCGTTCCCCACTCCCCTGCGCTCATTGGCCATCTTCTAAGTCATTCTACCCCTAATCTACTCCAGCTCAAAGGAATTTCCCCCCTCCCTCCCACCCCATCTCCTAGGGGATATTATCTCCAGGGAAAATAAGTAGGTGAAAAGTCAAACATCCCTTTCCAGACACTTTCGCTTCTCCTTCTTATGTCAGCACTAGAGTAAATGCAGGTTGAAGTGCTGACACTACAATTGTCATTTTTAGGGAAAATTGCATCTATTAAAATGAATATACTACCCAGTAATTCCAATTTGTCCAGGAAAGGATTTTTTCAAAGACTTAGATAAAATGATAGCAAAGTATATTTCGCAGGGGAAGAAGGCCTGAATTAAAATAAAATGCTTGCAAGATACCCGGAAGAAAGGAGGATTAGGGTTAGGACTGGGAATTGTACTATAGCAGCATCTTTAAACTGGATAAGAGACTGGATAGACTTTAAAAATAAGAGAACACTATTTATAGAGGGATTCAATCTACAATGAGGCTGGCACGCATTTTTGTGGGAGGGAAAAGACAAACATTACGGATACTTCCAACAACACATTATTAGAGGATCACTAAATAGAACATGGCAGGAGATTAGAAGAACACATTATAAAAAAATTCCGAGATGGTTATGGATTATGGAGGCGCTGATCTACCCTAACGCTATGGACATGGAGAAAATGAGAAACTACAAAGAATTATTGAACAATAGAGGAGAATTAAATCAAGACAAGAATTGAAAGAACAGGGAATAGACATTGATTGGTGGCCATATTTGCAAATAGAATCAACGTAGAAAACAGATCGGGTAAAATTCGGATTTCAAAATGAACCAAATGAATTGGATAAAATTTTACAAGGAACGGATGAGAAAATGATAACCAAAATATAAAATTACTTATTAAAATATAAACTAGAGGAAGAAGTGGTTAAAGAAAACATGATAATTTGGGCAAAAAATTTTGGGCATAGTATCAAATTAGACAAATGGGAAAAATTATGGACCGTAAATTATAAAATGACAATGTCTATACCCTATAAGGAAAATCTGCTCAAAATGTTCTATCGATGGCACTTCCCACCAGCACGCCTAGCAAAAATGTTTCCAAACACTTCACCAATTTGCTGGAAGTGTAACGCACAAAAAGGAACATAGTACCATATATGGTGGTCATGTCGAAAAGCCAAACAATATTGGCAGGAAATAAGGAAAATGATAGAAGAAATTACAAATCAGAAGTTGGAAATGAAGCCGGAAACCTTTCTACTAGGAATAATTACAACACAGTATGAGAAAGAGATAAAATATTTAATTATCCACATCTTAACTGCAGCTTGCATACTCTTTGCCCAAAACTGGAAACATGAACACTTACCGACAGAAAACAAAATAATCACTAAAATTACAGAATGCGCAGAAATGGATAAACTTACAAAAGACTTACTAGAGAAAGATGACACAGAGTACTACTTAGCATGGCAAAAATGGTATAACTGGCTGGAGAAAAAGTTAGAAACACACTCGTAGGGACGCTAAAAAATAAGGTCAATTTAGAGACAAAATTTTGAGTACCAATTAAGGAGAGTAATAATTTAAGGATGGAACGTATATTAATGTTTCACATGTAAATATGTAATTATACATATATATAGATAAATATATATATAGATAAAATATATAGATAAATACAAGAAAAATAGTCTACCGATGTGACAATTTTAAGAGTATGTCGTAAGACTTGATTGATGTTTGTCATTTTTGTATGTTGAATTGTCGTATTTATGTTTGTATTTTTTTAACTAATAATTTTTTTTTAAAAAAAAATCCTTTCTGAATTCCTTACGTCCGCTAGTGATATCAGCTTTTGCTGAATTTGAAATATATCCAGCTACATCAGGAGTTTCAAACTCGCCGTGTTACGTTTCATGATGTTGTTCTCATTCATGGAGCTGGGGTGGGCGTGGCCTGCATGTGATGCATCTGGCCCACGGGCCGCCAGTTTGACACCCCTGAGCTACATCATATAAGGACATTCTCTGATATAAAGATTTCATATAATTACATTCTCTGAGGTAGAGATGTGGACTTTTTAAAACATATTTTAGCATTTTATTATGTTTTGCATATTTTATATAGTTAGATTAATAACATTAAATTATTTTCTGTTAAGATAAAAGGTAAAGGAGTAAAGGATTGCCAAGTATAGAGGGTGGTGCTCATCTTTGTTTCAAGATAATTGAGCCAGGGCTGTCCAAAGACATTTCATGTGGCCAGCATGATGTCATGGAGCACTGTTACTTTTTCACCGATCTGATAAGATAGGAACTCGATAAAAATTTATATAATGCACATTAATATTAAATAATTCCAACTAGTCGCAAACATGATTGAAGCATTAGTTAATTAATTAGTTAATTAATTAGTTAATTTAAGTTTCTTCACATGCATTCTACATGTGAAAGTTGATATGACCATCAAGTATGATTCTTACTTCCAAGTTTTAGATACAATATAACTTTAAAAGTTGACATATAATATGAAACCGGTATTTTTTATAATTACAACTACAGTTCGACTATTTTCTAGAAATAATTTAATGTGTGGGATCGTTTTAATACGTTGATGCACCCTGTGGGCTTTATATTTCCCAATGTTACAAAAGATACCATGGCATGGGATTTTGTAAAAGTGCATTTAGGAATGTGAGATTTTGTTGCATTTGAAGATTGATTATGTGATGGACGATCAGTGCTATTAGCACCAATCACTTATGAAATTGGAGACAAAAATAGAAGTTAAACCTATGACTAATTATTCTTTTTCTTCAAATAGATATGCTCAGCGTCTACTACAGCTTTCAAGGGAAAGGGTAGAAAGCTACTCAATAAATTTCATTTCATATTCCGATCCCACATGTTTATTTTTACCAATTTGAATGATCTATAATTCATTTATTTGAGCTGTCTATAGTAATTATTCTAAAGTTATTCATTATTCATCCTGATTCAGGATATTATCTATCCAATTTTAAATTTTATGTTGAATTTAATTTTGTTTTTTTTCCTTTACAGCAAATACATATTTATTTATGGTACAAGCACGAGGTATAATGCTGAAAGAAAATGTGAAAACAATAGGACATATGATCAGACTGTACACTAATAAAAATGCTACAATAAATGGCACAGGTAGGAATATTATATAATACCTTGAATGGTTAGGTAATTATGAAAATTATTTTCAGTAACATTCTGGGCTAATTCTGAGTCAAAGCTTAACAAATTATTTAAGTTCAGCAGCATGTATATATAAAACTGGACATATACAAAATGATAAAATTGTATAAAATGGGTTGGGAAGACAACCTTATAAACATTACAGAAATAATTAATGGAGAATATTTTTATTTCTGTTAAGATTATCCTGAAGGCAACAGTACAAGTGATAGTATTGCTCAGACAGTGACGTATCTTCCAGAAAACTTCACTTATTCTCCTTCTCAATCTTGTCCAGAAAAATTGCCCTCCATGAGTAAGTTTATTTTCATCTTAAAAGAAAATTGTTAACTTAAACATGTCACAAATTGTTTTGAAACACTATTTTCAATAAAGATTTTAACAGGATTACAATTTTTCAAACATTCTAACTAATGAACAGTATAACTATAATTTCTCTAGGAAAAGAAAAATTCTTTTAAAAATAATTTGTAAACATTTTACGAAAATAAGTGTAGAATTTCAGAATTTAATTTGGTGCACTTTTTATTTCCATTTTAATGAAGCATTTCATTTAATTGGGGGTTCAATTAGGTTATGTTTACATTAAGATGTAAGATTTTCTGGAAACTGGGACAAACGCTTTGCAGAACATAAAAAAGGAAAATCCTGCAAGTCTGTTAATATAATACTAACATGTAACATTATGTACAGATTGAACTGTATCGGTCAGTTCGACATTTAGAAATATTGCTCCCCTGTGTTCCTCCCTCTCGTTTGATAGAGTTACCAAATCTAGACTACAAAAATCCAGAAGATCACTGGAAAAAAATCAAAGAGATACAGAAAATGTTAATTTTTCCTCTTCGTTTGGTGGTTGTTTCGATTTTTTCCCCAGCTGAGATCTGCTAGTCCTACCTTCTCATTTTCCTATAATAAAATTAAGTAGCTTTTGCTTTAAGTTTTAATTAACCATGGATCACTGTACTTTCAGTTTACTATGACTTATCTTAATTAGGGTAAATTAAAACAGCCCAGTTTCAGAAAGTAATCTTGTTTTAACTAATCAGAGTTATTGGATTTATTGGATCACAGATTTTTTTGAAGCTGCTCTGTTCAGATTCTAATAATACAGAATATTGTGGGTAGCATGCATAGTTTTAAAAGATTCAAGATTTCCGATTGTGGTTAAAGATCTTTAATTTAATCATTATAGTGACCATCTTGGCTTACCATAACATGAATGTGCTGGACAGGATTACCACAAAATAGAAGCAAAAGCTTCTAAAAAGCCTCCTTGTTATTCCATCCCAGTAGAGAAGAAGGTGGGGTACTGTGTTAGTTCAAGTGTCTATGGAGATTTTCAGTTATCCAGGTTATGGTTGTTCCAAAGGTGCTTTTTCAAGAGATAAAGCACTTTTGGGTGCTAGTTCAAGGTTTGTTATAGTTTATTTGCCTATGATAAACATGACATGTTTTTGTGCATGAATAAGATCAATGATTATTCCAAGATCTTCCATGAACTTTACATCTTCATACCTAAGTATTAAGAACCAATGTGATATACAGTACAGTGCCCAAAATAACATTTTTAAATTTAACTCTCTGATTATGAAATTGCCCCAAGGCCCCTTATTTGAAAGAGCAGGAACTGATGAATTGTCCTGTCCTTAGCCTTCCTTTATGCTGCTGGAAAGGTAATCTCTTCCCAAATATTCTTGCTCTAAGATGATGTATTCTACTTCTGCTGGAAGGAGAGTCTTTCGATCCATCTGATGCAACTCATTACACATGAAGTAAATTCTCCTTCTCCATTGTACGCTCTCCATGCCCCAGTTTTTGCTCTTTGCCTTTGATCTCCATTTTATACTGGTCTGCTGGCATGCCTGTCAGAAAGACTGGTCTTTGGGTTTCTGGTTTTGGGGGTTCCCTAGTGAAATAGTAAAATGCTGACCCTTTTCTGTTTGTTTACAAAAGGTTCAAGAGAGGAATTGTGAAATTCTAGCTATAGATAGTCTTTGGGTTACAACCATTCATTCAGCAACTGTTCAAAGCTATGAATTGCTAAATGAGGGAGACTTATGACTGGTCCTTGAAGTTGCAGTGCCCCTATGATTACACAATTGTAATTTGGGCACTCAGCAACAAGCTTACATTTATGATGGCTATAGTACCGCAGGTCACATGATCACTATTTGTGACTTTCCCTACTTCCACAAGCAAACTCAATGGAGAAACTGACTGGAGGTTGCAAATTACTTTCGCAAGTTGTTCCTGTTTCTGCTGCTTTTTCTCCTGTATCAAGCCCCCCTCCCCGGTGGCAGGGGAATCTTCTATACTGTAGTGCCCGTTTGCATTTTTGTCCACCTGTAGCACTCATCTGTGAGTCTACCTACACTCCTATCTGCTCTTAGCACCCACCGGCCTGCTCAATCATAGCTCTTGCCTGCTGGCCTGTTTGTGAGCCACTTAAGAAGGAAAGGCTTGTTGTGACTGCAACTTGCGGCTTTCCCACATTGACTTTGCTTGTTGGAAGCTGACAGGAAGTAGAAAATTATGGTCAAATAATGTCCTTGTTTAATAATCCACAGTCCATGCTTCGTGTCAGCAATGGAAACTGCTCGAATTGCCATTGCTAAGTGGCATGATGTAATGGAATGTGTAAATGACCTTGGAAGCTGAAGGAAGAGATGCTGTCTAGGGAACAATCAGATCAAAGGGAGAGGAGCCCACAAATTGTAATGGGTAAAAAAAGAAGCTGAAGAAGGATCTGCCCTAACTAATCAAGTGGTTAAAAAAAGCTGGCAGGACATTTGTACTTTCAGATTTGCAAGATTTTATTAATATAGATTAATACGCATTCTTAGAAAATAAAAATGATGGATGGCTACAACTCAGTGCCTTATTTGGAAGTGTGTCCACCAAAAAAAAAAAAAAAGGCAGTGATAAGCTTGGATCGTAGATATGGCTCTGTAGGCTATATTGGGGGAGTCAAGAAACATTGCCTTATATTAAATTGCCTTTTAGAGTTATCTGTGCTATGTTCCCCATTTTGTGAGCATTTCTATGATATATCTTTCAAAATTTAAAATGTGATGCTGACCCCAAAAGGATCGCCCATACCCTTGAGTACTGATAGAAGAGAATGAATTAAATGAGTTTCAGGCCTATGAACTGCATTTCCCCTTTTCCTTGCCTTTAGGAGGTGAGAAAATACTGCTTCTATTTACAGCAAACCAACTTTGTGTTGTTTCTGAATTGGGACAAAATAATGTGTTCATCTCAGAGTGTTTTATTTGGAAGAGGCAGTTCCAAGTCACCAATTTTGATACTTATTTGTTTGAATAAACTTTGATTTAACTAATCTTACATTTGTTTCAGTACAGCACCAAAGTATAGTTAGATGAAAACTCAAAACAATGCTACCATATATATATATATATATATATGGTAGCAGCATATATATATTCCTATATGATGGAGCTGGTTTTGGTCCTTGGTACATAATAAAATGTGCTACTTTTAACTGTAAACAATAGCAAGATTAGTGTGTCTTTGCCTAAATAGGATCCAAGCCTGAAAGATAAATATCTCTTTATTTATGCATAAACAAGGAGAGGCCCAAGGTGGCATAAGGTGTGAGGTCCCTTAGAAAGGTTGGGAATCATTTTATATACAGTTCAAACATATTGGGTTTAGAATGTGCTTTTTCATTGACAAGCATCATTTGACTCATTTGTGATTTAGCAAGCATGCTTAGTAGCTTGGTAAATACTATGTGACATTTTATACTGGCTTCATCCCATAATATTCTTAGCATGATCTTGCTCATGCCCAATTGCATGTTCAGTAGGTGTGGTTCTTAAATTATAATTAGTTTTCAAGTAACTAAAATTCAGATCTTTGGGCAGTTCTTGTCTCTGGCCAGTTTGAACAAGTCCTTATCAGAATTTTGCACTCCTGCTTCTTTACTTCAAAGAACTAGAAACATTAATCAAAGGCACTCCTGGCTACTGAAAACATTACTCAAAAGGCTTCCTCACTCGCTCCCATCCACCTCAGTTTCAAGCAGAAATTCTCCTTTTCTTAACTATATTGTGTGATAGCATTTAAAAAATCTGTATTAGATATCAGTGTATTACTGGCTGTTATATGTAATATTATGTCATTTACACATCTTAGCTTTAAATGGGAAGGGGGAATCTTTATCAAAATTTACTTCTTATCATCGTTTAGGAGGCTTTATTGAAGCAAATATGAGTGAAATTAGTTTGGAAGAAATTCAACAAATGTTTTCTAAAGATTTAGACATTGAACAAGGTGGTCACTGGAAGCCAAAAGACTGTAAACCACGTTGGAAGGTAAAGTACAATTAAATTTTTAGTCATCTAGAGTCCATGATTTTCTTAAAGTTTGAATCTGGTTGTTTTTGCAATATCAGAACATAGCTTCATATATACCTGACATGCTAAAGTATAATTTATCTTTATTTTTCATCCAAACAAGAAGCTCATAATAAATTGCAGTTCAAAAAGCATGCTACAATAAAGACAGAATAACACCTTGTTATCTTTTACCCACCTGCCAATCTCTATAAAAATCTTGGTATTCAATTTAGATATAGTCCAAATCCTTATTGCCATGGATAGGCTTCAGATCATAACAAAATGTGATGATAACCAGATTTAGATATTTGCACATTTGTTATGTAAGACAGGATGGAAGGCAGGAGTGATTTTTTTTTCCACATGAAAATCACTATTTAGAGATGAATTCTTCCTCCTTGGTGATGTGGTGGAGAAAAAGGAATTCAACTTCCTTTGCCAGTTTATCCTCTTTGATGCAAACCTGAAATCTTTACACTTATATTTCATAAATGAATGGGACCATTTAATCAACAATAAATGTATTTGTCCACGTTCAGTCTAATTTGGCTTTTTGAAAACCCCCAATAAATAACTGTTCCTCCATTTGTTTACTAAAATTAACATAGATGACAGTCTTTGGAAGATAAATGCCTGAGCTGGTACTATTGAAAAGGCTGTTCTCTATATTCTCTGTGATTTAATCTGGCAAATGATTGAATAGGACAGTGGTTCTCAACCTGTGCTCTGCAGACTCCTGGGAAGCCAGGGTGTCATCTCAGTGGGTCCATGAAGGCTGGAAGAAATATTACGATTTAAATCTTGAATTAAGCCTTGGGGTCCGTGGCCACAAAGGAATCTGGTTGTCCTTATCACATTTTGTTATGGTCTGAAACCTATCCATGGTTGTATGGATTTGGACCAGAGGTGGGTTTCAGCAGGTTCTGACCAATTTTGGAGAACCGGTAGTGGAAATTTTGAGTAGTTTGGACAACAAGTAGTAAAAATTCTGATTGGCTCCGCCCCCGTCTATTCTCTGCCTCCAAGTTCAGCTGATTGGGAGGAAATGGGGATTTTGCAGTGTCCTTACCCTGCAATGCCCACTAAGTCACGCCCACCAAATCATGCACACCCACCATGCCACACCCACAGAACCGGTAGTAAAAAAATTTGAAACCCCCACTGATTTGGACTATACCTAAATTGAATACCAAGATTCTTATAGAGACAGGCAGGTGGGTAAAAGATAACTAAGTTATTCTGTCTTTATTCTAGCATGCTTTTCGAACTGCAATTTATTATGAGCTTTTTGTTTGGATGAAAAATAAAGATAAATTGTACCTCAGCATGTCAAGTATATAGTATATGAAGCTATGTTCTCGTATTGCAAAAACAACCAGAGAACCCCTGGAATAGGATATCACTTTATCTCAGATATACCAGAACCACATATTAAAATCAAACATTACCAAAGGTATGATGTTTTCAGATTGTTTATTTTATTTTTAGTTTATTTATCAAATTTAGGTACCACCCATCTCACTCTTGAGTTACTAAAGTATTAACCTAAAGCATTATTCAGAAGGAAGCTGGATATGTCAATATAAAGACAAAAAATGTAATTCGTACATTGTTTATTAAATCATAAAAAACTTAGCAGTAATAGATTAAAGCAGATTTTTCTTAAGAGATGATTGAAATTTGAGATTAATTTTCTTTAGACAGTGCACACATTTAGACTAATTTGTAGAAAAGTGACTAAAATTAATTTTCTTTGATTGTGCTTCTTGCATAACCATAATCATGCACACCAGCAAATAGCTTTCCTAAGATTTATGTTTAACTTCTGCAATTCAATCTGCTAGCATAATAGCTTTCAGATGGTTTTCTATTTTAAAGGTTGCAATACTCATCCCTTTTCGCAATCGTCATGAACACCTTCCTATATTTTTTCGACATTTAATACCAGTGTTGAAGAAGCAGAGGCTAGAATTTGCTTTCTATGTTGTTGAACAGGTAAGTTTGTTTGATTATTTGTATCAGAATAAATTTTGATATTATTTTATTGCAAATATTTGAATACATTTAACAATAAACAGTGTGTGTCTGCCAATGAATGTTTAGCAATACTTCTGCTGTGTCTGGTCATATTTCCTTAACACAGAACTTCCATAACTTGAATTCCAGATCAGCAACAGAAAATCGTTGAATGTTATAATATATATCGACTTAATTAGAATCTTCCATATTTTCTCTAGTGTGACTCCAGTATTTTAAAAATATTGTTTCTATTGTTCTCCTATTAGTGGATTACGGTTAGGGTTACCTATAATATACTTAACTTAAAATGGGCACATTAAAATTAACAGCAAAGCTATCATAGCCCAGAGTCATTGATTTCAGTGGTTATATAGCATTATGCAATTGTATTCCAGTAGTGCATATCCTAATTAACTTTCTTTAACAGTTTATTTTTCTATTTTTCTCTCTGTTAAGGTAGGAACACAGCCTTTTAACCGAGCAATGCTGTTTAATATTGGCTTCAAAGAAGCTATGAAGGACGGTGATTGGGACTGTGTAATCTTCCATGATGTGGATCATTTACCAGAAAATGATAGAAATTATTATGGATGTGGTGAAATGCCACGTCACTTTGCTGCAAAATTGGATAAATATATGTACATGTACGTAATATGTAGAACAGTATTTCTGATCTCCTATAATTGTGCAGTTAGTCAAAATAAGCAGTACAGGTAGACCTCGACGTACGACCAAAATTGAGCCCAAAATTTGTGTTGCTAAGTAGGACCGTTGTTAAGTGAGTTTTGCCTCATTTTATGACCTTTCTTGCCACAACTGTTAAGCAAATCACTGCACCTGTTAAGTTAGTAACATGACTGTTAAGTGAATCTGGCTTCCTCATTGATTTTGCTTGTCAGAAAGTCCCAAAAGATGATCATATGACCTTGGGACAGTGCAACTGTCATAAATATGAGTTAGTTCCAAGCATCTGAATTTTGATCATGTGACCCTGGGGATGCTGCAATCAATGTAAGTGTGAAAAAAGGTCATAAGTCACCTTTTTCAGTGCTGTTGTAACTTTAAATGGTCATTAAACGAACTGTTGTAAGTCGAGGACTATCAGTATTGGAAAATATTTTACATTGATCCTCACATTCCCTGAATACATTTATTGCTATTACCAAATATTCCATGGACAAGTTCATGAAGATGAAATGCCAAGTTTTAAAAATGCAGCTATTCTATGATATATAAGCTTATAATATTACCATGAACTTTAAGAATGTTAAATAAAAATGTATCAGTACACATGATATATTTGAAAACCAGAATTTATGTCTCTTCTATATATCTCTTCTCCTCGTTGATTAAAGTTCAGTTTGACTGTGAATTTAAACAGTGAAAGCCAGGAACAGAATGAGGAAGAATTTAATTTAAGTTCTCCTAGTACCCAAGACTTTCAAAATGTGCTCAACTTTTAAAGGTTTCCTCTACAGCCGTGATGGCGAACTTATGGCATGCGTGCTGGAAGTGGCATGCAGAACCATCTCTCTGGGCATGTGAGGCATCGCCCATTGCTCTTCCAGTTTCCGATGCGCCAGCCAACGTCTTCACGTGTGTGGGAGCGCCAGAAACCGGAAGAGCAGCTGCACGGTGCACATGCGTGCATCACAGTAGTGGGTTTCAAATCCAGTCGCTACCAGTTCGCTTGTGGGTATGTGTGCAATACTTCTGCGCATGCGCAGAAGCATCCGGGTGGGTGGATGGAGCCTTGTGCCACCGCCGCTACCAGTTCGCCTGATCTGGGGTGAACCAGTAGCACCCACCACTGGTGCGCCGGGAAGATGATCTTCAAGTTTCTGGCATGCACATTCGCGCTGGCCAGCTGGTCTTCATGCGCATGTGGGTTCCAGAAACCGGAAGACCAGGTGGCCTGTGTGCACGCGCCCACTGAAAACCCGAAGATCATCTTCCAGGTGCGTGCATGCACACCAGGCGGCTGTTCTTCTGGTTCCTGATGTGCATGTGTGCCCCCGTTTTGGCACTTTGTGCCAAAAAAGTTAACCAATACTGCTCTAGAGCAAAGTGGAGAGTATGCAAAGAGCTGCAGCCTGCACGAAGTCTCATTTAGGGCCCTGGATTTTTCACAAGAGTTTTAACATGCATAATTTTACTGTGTATTTCTTCTGAAAACATTTACTATTGGTAAAATATTACTTATTTCTATTCTCCATGGCTCTCCAAGCAGCTTCTTTGATGAATCTTACGGTAGTGATAGTAATTTACAGGCATATATGACTATACAGGTCTGAAATAGGCTGGAATTTAATTCGTTGAGAAACATAAATCTTTTTTTAAAAAAATAGTGTAAGATTTTTATCTTGTGTTTTGTTCAGGAGTTCAAAATAGCACATACAGACTTCCACTCTTTCTATCCCCTCAACAGTAACAACCTTGGGGTAAGAAAATTACTCCAAGAGCTTTCATCGCTGAAGAGGTTTGGAGTGGGTTTCCCCACTCTCATCCTAATATCCCATTGCTAAATGCTGCTCCTACAAATATCCTGTGTTTTTGCTTGATTCCACTTTTCTCCCACCTCAGAATTTGTCCCATGTATTGTGTTTTTCGGCCATTTTGACATGGTTTTGTTTTGTTTTTGCTTCTCATTTTACTCCTAGCCTTTCTGATTCAATTAAGTGGACATTCAGTCTGTGGCTGTCCTGAATATCTGTTTTTCTTACTTTTTTCCATGTCTCCCCCTTTATATTACACTTTAAAAAAAAATTCTCCCCCTTTTTTAGAATTTACAAAAAAAAGTTCTGTTTTTTAGGAAAAGGACAGTCTGAAACTATTACAAAGTATGTTAAAGATACTTTTTCATTCCCCACCAATGTCATTTTATTTTTACTTCTACCATTTGAAAAGTAGAGTATTAATGCACTATTCAGTTGTTTTGCCGTTACGGCTATACCTTATCTTTCATAATGCATCATCTATGATTTGATCCATTTACAAAATTCTAAATCCATTTAAATATATTTATTTATTTAAATTACTTATATTTAAGATGTGAAAACTCTTGCCATAGAAAAGAATTATAAAAATGTACTTAAGCCAAACTTGGTGGTACATTGTTGCCTCTCTCCTGTCTCTCAAAACCCAGCATGAATATTTCCATGAGGGCAGAAGGAACTAAACTTGACTCAAAGAACACTTCCCTTTTATCTTTACAAGCCCTAAACATAAATACTTCCTCTCATTTTCAGACTTCCATACAATGAATTTTTTGGTGGTGTAAGTGGGCTAACAGTAGAACAATTCAAAAAAATCAATGGATTTCCAAATGCTTTCTGGGGATGGGGAGGAGAAGATGATGACCTTTGGAACAGGTATTTCTATTATATTGTATTAACTGTATTAATACAATACAACTGTATATTGTATTAGGTCATTGGCCAGAATTCATAGCAGATGGAACACATGAGGTTTCAAAGTAGATGTAGGCTAAACGGAAGAGAAATACCCAAGTTCTTTTTTGCTGAAATGTAGAGATTTATTGGATCCAGTCATAAAAGTAATTGGCTACTCAGATTTGAACAGCTTTAAGTAACAGCACATAAGTAAAACAATTCCTTGCTAGCATAAGCGTATAGATGTAACTAAAGGGGTGGGTGGGTTCAACCTTGACAATTTTAAGACTTGTGGACTTCAACTCCCAGAATTCCCCAGCCATACTGTCTCAAAGTTGCCAAGGTTGGCTACCCCGGTCTAATGAAACCCATGGAAAATGTATGTATGTATTTTCCTAGTTTTCATAGTGATTGGCTAATGCCTGCTTCTTTTTAGATGCTGTGTTTTTGCTTATAGATGTTGCTTTCTATCAGTGAAAAGCAGTCACACTTATGCAAGATAGATATGCCAGTCTGGGAATTCTGTGATTAGATGAGCAAGTGGAACTCTGTCCCTCAACTACTGGGATATACAATATACGTAATAACAGACACCAATAGGTTAAAACCCAAAGGCAACAACTTTACAGAGCTCTGTACAGCAGTGTGTGCTGGATCTTGTCACTTTTTCAATTTTATCGTTCTGACATCATGCACATCCCTATTAGACATGGGTGTGAGTGATGTTATAATACATAAAGTATGGGCCTTGCAATACAACACTATTTTTGTCAGTCTGACTCTCCTTATCCTTCCTTCAGAAATCATTTGTTGTTGGTCCATATTTTAGGAAACTGATTTGTTTTCTGATTTGTTAATAGCCAATTCGTCCAAAACAATCAGTACTAAAGTAAATTCCTTAATGGGTCGTTATCCCCTATTGTTACTTTACAAAATCTTCAAGACCTGCAAATCTACAGCCGCTGTTTAAGGCTGGGGTCTTATTAGTAAAAGTCCATAGTCTAAAGTTGTTTCTTGCCTGAGTTGGTATCACTCACCCGGCTTCAAAGCACATCGTTCTTTCTTTCTTCTTTCCTCCTGCACAATTCTTTCCTGATTTGTCCCAGCTTCGTGGCAGCTGCCATGGGTGCCTCCCCCCGCCACTGACTCAGAGGGTTCGCTCCAGCCTCCGAGGAAGTTGCCTGTTCCTCTCGGCCGTCCAAGGCGCGCCTCTCCTTCCCCTGTCCCTACAAGACAGGTTCGGTCCAAAGACCTATCGGTGGCGGCTCGTCAGTCAGGGTTTTTGTGGGGCTCATCAGAGCCTGCTATTTCCCTGACTGCATCACTGAGACATCCCCTCCCTTCCTAAGACCCAGCCTTCTTTTTGGAGAAATACGGTAGTTTTACTTGGATTAATATGCCTGTGAAGAAGAGTGTGAACTCTCACACATTAAACAATGTCACATCTACAATGGAGCAGTCAGCATCATTCTGAGATGCTACTTAACTGTTTCTGTTTAGAAATGGTTTGGAAGATTTTATTCTGGATTTTTTCTCTCTGCAATCCCTCAGTGGTTCTGTCTCATTTTTAGATTCAAACTTCCTTTTGCTTCTCCTCAAACACTAAATCTGATTCAGTTCTGTTCTGGGTTTATTGTTTTGGTATCATTTGTTTGGTATAATTTCCTCTTCTTTTAATAACTAAAAAGCCTTTCTGGTCCTCTATAAAATCAACAATAGCAATGTCACAGTCCCACAAAACCTAACACACATAAAATTGCCTCTGATGTCTATTATTGAGTATATATATTACACATGTGGATTATTTCAATTACAGAGTCCACTCTGTAGGATTTAATGTGACAAGACCAGAAGGAGAACTTGGGAAGTATAAGTCAATTCCTCATCACCACAGAGGAGAAGTTCAATTTTTAGGGCGGTAAGAATAAAAATATTAAAATAAGTTTTTATTTTTGCTGTAATATTGTGCTTCTGATAGTTAAACATAGTAATTTATTTGTATGCAACATTTTAGCATTCAGAATATTTCTTTAAAATTCTGTGGAATATTTATTATTGTTCCTAGTTTATAAATGATGAATTCTCTCTATCTTGAATATTGTATTTAGTGTGATAGAATAACCTTATGATTCAGGAAAGTTTGGAATAAATAGTTTTAAAGAAATTAGGTAATACATGCAGTATATAGGTTCTGCAGAAGGGTAAAGGAGAGGTAAATTATGAAATATGTGACATGATGTTCTGACATAAATTCTTGCTATTTATCTATTTGTGTCATTATGTTACATGAAAGAGCCGAGGTGGCACAGTGGTTAAAGTACAGCACTGCAGGCTACTGCAGCTAGCAGTTCGGCAGTTCAAATCTCACGGGCTCAAGGTTGACTCAGCCTTCCATCCTTCTGAGGTCGGTAAAATGAGGACCCAGGTTGTTGGGGGCAATATGCTGACTTTGTAAACTGCTTAGAAAGGGCTGTAAAAGCACTATGAAGCGGTATATAAGTCTAAATGCTATTGCTATTGATATATATGGGACAGCACATTTAATACCATCTCAATAAATTTTCAGCTTGCTGCAGATAACAACAATAACAATTTATTAAACTTGTACGCAGCCTTTCCTAACATGATACCTTTCAACTCTGCTTGTTGAAAGCAATGTTTTTGCTGAATACTTTGCAAAAAATCCAGTGTTTTTTGTAGAATGTTTGTTGAACTTTTCCTTATGTTCAGTTTGAGTTCAAAACTATTTATTTGTAAAATTTATTGGCTGTCCCTCTTAGTAACTCTGGGTGGCTTACAATATTAAAAAAGATAAAAGTATATAAAACCTATAGATGATTTAAATAAGATACTATAAAGAACCGCTTTCATTCTGAAGCTGAAAATATTTTGTCCTGTATAATGAGAATGACTTTCTACATTTTTACCATTGCTCTGAATGTTTTTTTCCACAGATACAAACTATTAAGATATTCCCGAGAGCGTCAGTTTATTGATGGTTTAAATAATCTAGTATATATGCCATCTATATTTGCCAATAAACTGTATACTAATATCACTGTAAACCTGGTACCAGAACTAGCTCCTGTTCAAGATTATTGATGGCATAGCAGAATAAACTACTGGATCTACATTTTGTAACACTGGGAAAATACTAAATCAGGTATTTCAATGACTGCACAATCATGTGTCAATTAGTGAATGCTTCACATTAAGAAACCAATAAGTACTCAAGCCTTGTTAGCTTTTCTGTAGATAATAAATACAGCATGCTTAGAAATCAGGAAAATTCCTTTCTCTAAGAAAGTGTGCATTCAATGAATTATTATTTTTTTAATGTTTTCCATATCATGTAAATATCTGTTAAAATATTAGGCTTTTGACTATGGCAGCATTCTGCATGTTTTGGAAGTATTTGTGTTTAATATTTCTAGAATTTAGGCATGAAATGTAAGCAATTAAATCTAGACAAAAATTTCGAATGATTTATAGCTGATTTATAAATATGGCTATCCTGTTATAATAAACTTTTCTGCTTATTTTGAGCTACAAGCCTTCTGTGTAACACTTATACCTGTGATTTTGCCATCAAACCTATGATAAATAAACCTTTAATCTTTATTCTATCTATTAACCAGGGAGGTTCCCTGAATATGCTTGAAAGAATATTATTTATGCGTATTCCATGCATGGAAACCCATCTATAATGTTGCATTTCATTATGGCTCTTAATGTGTCAGTAGTGTTAATGTCAGATTTATATTTTGGTCTATTTTCATATTGCTCTTTTGTGGATTTTTGTAATAATCAACTTCATTCCATCCAAAATCAAAAGACCAATGAATTAGAAGACAAATGAATGTTAATGGAAGGAAGTGATGGGGTAAAGTGTTTATATGAGTAACAAGTGGAATGTTCAGAGTAATTGATGTTGGTTAATCTTTTTCTCATTGAAAGTCATTGGCACTGGAGTCAACCTGAGGAGAAATGTGTTAAAATTTATTTTAAACCAATTGCCTTTAATGTTAAAAGTTTTCCATTCCTTTGTAAACAGTGCATTTTATGCAACAAGCTAAGATTCTTCTGTTTATGACTTAAAGTTGGGATGAACCTGGTTGCTATTTTACAAAGTTATTTTGTTCTTGTTTTTTGTGCCCAGTACACAAAACTTAGGTATGTCTCATTCTAGTTTTTATTGGACTGGATGATGATTGACATATAGCATCCTTTTTTGAGTACTCTTCTTTGAATACTTGAGCTATTATCTTTACAGAGTGAATCACTCTGTTCTAATACAGGCATTTCAATGTTGAATGTAATTATGAACCAAGATTAAACATTTGGGAATCGAAGAATTACTTCTTTTTCCTTTCAGAATGGAAAAATTCATTGTTCAACATCTAAAAAAGAGTAAAATGGACTCAGATGTAATTTACATTATGGATTAGTTCTGTAGGTGTCTTGCAGTTGTTTGGGATAAAAATTACTTTGTTTTTTTCCTTACAACATCAGCATAAGAACTGATTGTAGGCTGCTCATTAAATATAAAAAGTGATGTCTATCGTTCCAAATAATTTGTAATTTGAAGATATTAAAATGGAACAAAGTGACTGATAAATACATAATTTTGACAAAATTATATGAATCAAGCATGCCAAAAAACCCCTTAATCTTTAAATCTAGACACTATATTCTGTACATTTTTTCTCAATTCCCAGCTAGTGGATTTTTGCAAAGCTAAACATGGTATTTATAACATCCTGTCCTAATTCAGTTCTGTATGACATGGTTTGAATGGAATGGCTTGTCTTAAATATTTCCAACTTGATACATAAGTTCATAAAAACTGTGTATGGAAAATGCATGTTTGCATACACTTTAAAATTATATTTTTAACCTTGCAGGAAAGAAAAACGATATCTTTTTGCTCAATTATACCATTCTGTAATAGATCTTTGTATGCCATGATAGTTTAAATTAATTTGTACTTGGACTTGGAAGTCATTTACTTTCTTTGTGACCTTTAGTGTAGAACCATTGATAGCCTGGTTTTGTTCTCTGGTTTAAGCAGGGTGCCCTGTTCTGTAGAACAGATTTATCGTGAGTAAGACAAATACATTTCAGTTGAAACTCTAAAAATCATGTAAATAATGAAGGCCTAGTAAGTGGTTGCATACTGCTGATCTAGTTTAAGCACAGTCCTCAGCAAGTCCTGATTAATACTTAGGTGGGAAAGCTCCAATCAGAACAGAAGGCAATAGCAAATCACTTCTTTATAGATAGTCCTCACTTACTGATTGCAATTGGGATAGGCAACACTATTGCTAAACTGTGTTATCATGAAGTGAAAAATCACATGATTGAGCCTGACAGTCTGTCAATTCTAGCTATGGTCATTACAGTATGTAAAGCACATACACTCATTAAGCACGATGTCACATGATATGACTGTGACTTCTTGCTGGCTTCTCCATTGTTTGTTGGAAGCTGACAAAGAAGGTTGCAAATGCTGAACATATGACTCTGGGACACTGTCACCATCGTACATGCATGTCAGTTGCCAAGCAGAAATTACAATCAGGTGACTTTGCAGAGTTCTAACAGTTGCAATTTAGAGGATTGGTCTTAAGTTTCATTATTTAACACCGTCGTAACTTTGAAAGGTCACTGAACAATTGGTGGTGCTATGAAAGGTACATGAGTTTGTTGATGAAATCATTAGTTGCTGAAATTCAGCTTGGAGAATTTGCTTGTACAAAAACCTTAATTATTTTGGATTTTTCTTTAGTTTTCCTGACACTATATTTTAGGCTGAAATGAGCTTTTGTCTCATTGTCTATAGTGTTATTTTTTGTCTTGGATTTTAGGTCTGGTTCTTCAAATGAGTGAAACATTGTTTGATATTTATATGTACAATAAATGAGAAAAATGGTACTCATACGTATAAGGCGAAGTGTACTTAATCTGATCTTATTTTTTCAGGTGAAAGAAGCACATTAAATGTATTAACATGTTCTCAATACCGTACAGAATTATGCTATCACTTATTATGTTGCTCATTAAAATATTTATACTTTTTAAATCCATTGTATTTTTTAAAATACAGTGTGCTACAGATGATAGTTTTGTTTACCTCTAATCTTTGGGGCTCTTGGGGTAGGAATCTTGAGAAAATGTGATGGATGCTGTGGCAGAATGGCTGCCATAGAGATTAAAGTTAACAAAAGGAATCCTAGTTCAAATAGAAATGACTTTCAGACGCACTTTTTTTGCCATTTTCTGTTTCAATTCCATAGCCTTTTGAACCTCCCATACTTTGTGCAATCCTTTGCATAATATCATATTAGTGCCTTTCTATTTGTGGTTTTTCCATCTGGTCCCTCTCTCTTGTTACGTTTTGTCTCCCACATCTTCCTTTTACCAAGCAAACAATAATGTCTCTCTTGAAAGTTACATGACCAATCTCAAATCACTTATTGTCTTATTTTTAATCAACCTTGAAGCCAGCATAGCCAAGGCACTCATTTAAGTAGTAATGAGTATCTTGGCTGTGCTGCCTTCAAGGTTGATTAAAAATAGTCAGGCACATTGGAAGGCCACCAATTTGGAAAATGCTGCTGTGCTATGCCTAAAGATATTTCTCCTCCTTTTTCCAGATAAAAGTTACACTGTGCCATTGGCTCTGCTTCCTCCAGATACACTTAGTACTTGGCTGAGAACAGGATAAATTCTAAACAGATATAAAGCAATCACAATTGTTTACAAATTGGTGCTTACTGAACGTCTTCAAGCCTACTGTTGAATACAACATAGAAAAAAAGTATTTCATGTTTCTTTAAACAGAACTGTATTGTGTTTGTTGCACATTACGCAAGTATTTAGAGAAATTTATTGATACATTAAAAAAATAGCTAAGCAGTAGCAATTACATGCTATTGCAGGAAACAAGCCATTGATAGTGCAAATTAACTACCTCCTTTAAAATATTGCTATAAAAGTGTAATAGAATTTTGAAAGAATTATGTAGGTTCTTATTCCTTTGGTTCACTGACAACAGCTGTGGTTGAATAAGAAAAAGGACTGAGAAGAGCAGCGATAGTATAATGACGATGACCAGAATCATTAGCAATAAAAACCACCTGTTAAAAAGAAAAGAAAAGAAAAATAGTTTGGGAGTGTTTTTAGTTAACACAATGATCTGATAGAGAGCAATGCAAAAGTAGAAAGATTGGCATTAAGTAGAATTGATTGTTTTCTTTCATTCTGAAATTTTACCTTTTTTTTTTTTTTACTGAAAATAATTAAACATATCACACTTTTAAATCCAGCTGGATATGGAGATATGGGTCAATAAGGACACATATCGATGTATGAAAGCACACACATTTAATGTATATTATGAATCTTTTATATTTTTAAATAAATATAGATGGTCTTAAAGTTTATACTTATCAAACACTTCAATTCATATTTCTTCCCTCCTCAAATAAATGTTTATATAATAGCAGGAATTATTGGATCAAACTGCATCATAATTTTCAGGAATTAAATCTTAGGGTTTTTGTCAGTGGTTTATCTTATATTTTAATATTTTCAAATACTCACATCAGCATACTGATGAAATGAGGAAATGCCAAGTGCTTTCCAGTACGAGCTAGTGTCAAATTCCAACTTGTACAAGCCTTCTACAAACAACTCATCAGTTGTAAGTTCATGGATTTCTCCAAATTCATTTGTTTTCCTTAAATTAATATATGAGAGTGACATAGTCAATAGCTTTATTCAGTACAAATAGCATATTGTTTTATTCTGGCCATGGGATGGATTCAGAGTTAGTCATACTTAAAACATACACATTGAAAAGAATGGGACTCCCATCAAAATCACCAATGCTCCAAAATTGCTAGTTTCTGGACCATTAATTTGTTTTTAATTAATGGGGAAAACCAAATACAGGAGGAGTAATTCTATATGTGGATCTTGAACTAAGATTCATAATGTTTTGGAGCTGAAGCTAAGTAAAATTTAAAAAATCATGTCAGTTAAATCAGAAGTGCTCATATTTAACATAATGTACATTTTGTTTTATGATCAACCACCCGGTAGCAAAGCATATTGATTCCAATGAGATTTATTTCCAAATAGATATATACAGTTTTGATATTAGGTCACACTGTGTTTTCTGCATCCATTCAAATCTTTTTTTACACTGAAAAAATAGTTACCGGTAATCTCTAAACCCATATCAAAACTGATTAATACTGTAATACCCATCTATTTAAACTATTTGATAGATCTCCAGATTTTCTAGAATGAGGAGGATTGTTACATCAGATTCTTTTTCTGAGAATCATTAATACAGAAATGTCTGATTATATTAATTTTAAAATGTTCTTGCTATTAGTTACACCTCTAAAACAATGTACTAAAGGTAATGATTCACATAAATAAATAGGAACCATTATTTGCACCTATTTCCTCACTGAATCAGGATTTGGGAGGAGATAGTGTCATCACCATGCTAAAATAGTACAGTTCTGAGGAAATACCAGATCTACAATCCTTCAAAGATAATAAGCAATGAAAGTCTGTGGCTGATAGGTTTGTGTTGTTAATACATTCCATTTGAAAAGGAAGTAAAGTGTGATCAATGGATTCTACCCGACACTTTTCATGCGGTCTTACCCATTGGAAAACTCCTTCCAGGTCCCATCTTCACCGTTTTTGAATACTTTTACTGGGAGGTTGGTAGCTGGGGTTCCTCGAACTGCATCAAGGACTTTCACCATCAGAGGACACTTTGAATCAGCAGAATTATGGGATTCCTTGATACAGCAGAAGAGATTTCTATTAGAATTTTGGTAGGATACAGCCTGGTTTGTGAACAAGAGACTTTGCTTTACGTATACACTTTAAAGGATTTCTTTGGTAGTGATGGTGCTATTGGGGAAGCTCTAGTTTGAGCTAAGAATAAGTTAAATTAGCATAGAAATAGAATGCAACTTTGAGATATTGTTTATAAACTGATATTTAGAACATATGTAAACACACAGATATACAAAGTCCTGATAAAAGCTTTCATATCTCCTCTGAACTGAAATATTGTGACCCTCCTTGCTAGTTCTGCTACAGGCATTGATTTATGAATATTCATTCTATCCAATGTTGTAGATGTTACAAAAACCACACCGTGAACAGGGTATGGTTACAGATGCAAATAACTCATAGTCAAGACTTCACAGTTTCTTGTAACTACAAGTCAATCTAATTTCATTATACTGAGTTAGAAATGAAATGTAATCAGTTCACAAATTTATCTGTAGAATTTGATTCAACATGCAAGACATTCACATCTGTGCCGACATCTTAAATCCTTTTAATTAAACTAAAAATGTTACTAAAAATAAATATATTCTAAAAATGTTTAAAAGAAAAAACACATTTCATAAAGTTGGTTTTTTTTTTTAAACCTCTGGCTATTTCAGTTGTTTGAAATAAATTTATGGATAAAAATGCAATAATCAAAAGATTGAATTGATGCCACGGGTTTTCCTACAGCAATTGTTTCATAATACTTACAAACAAAGGCAAAGGTGCCACTTAAACAATACTTACCACTGGTGCAGCTTCAATGAGATACCCCATTGTAGCCAAGCAAAAGAAAAGCAGAGAAGAGGGAGCCATTGTGTACGCAAATCAAGAGACTCTACCAACAGCTACAGGTTAGTGGGATTTAGGTTTTTATACTGAACCCTCGAACAAAACAGGCTACTTATCAGGTGCCTGTATGATTTAAAACTGCTGATTCTGATTATTTACTTAGCAAGCATCCCGCTGTGCAAAGCTTCTATCCAGTGGCCTCTTGCTGAAAGCTGTAGAATTACAATAGATAGGTGGAAGGAAGGACTATACAGGTGCTGGGAATGAGAGAATCAGTAACCTACACAAACATGAACCTTGCCTATTGGGATTACTCTGTTAGCATAAGCATAAAAGAAACGTGTTAAGCAACTGATGTCTGCTTAGATTTTACTGGCTCCAGCAAGCACATCGTGCAATGTGAGCCTGTAGGCATCTCTGTGACATTCACTCAACTAAAAAAAATTCTGTTATTTGTTTGGGTTGTATCCACTTCAGACTTTGGAGTTAAAGTGCTCGTAGGTTTCTTTCTGTTACACTATTCATATTCGATATAGACAAGTAGCTTGTATTGCAAGAGATGATACGTACGTCTCAAAGCAACTGATATTTGTCTGCATATACCATTGACTATGAAAACCCTGGAGAATTTTCATTCCACTCCCCAGTGATCAACTGACATCTCTTCTAAATTAGAAATTTGTTTCTTCGCCCCATTAGTTTTTAACAATAGATTGATGTACAGATGCTAATAAATGATAGTAAGGATCCAGGAGCTGATTATGTGGATATCATCCAGATACATTGGAATTACAGCTCCCAATCTTTCTCCTTCTCCTTCTCCTTCTCCCCCCCCCCCCCCCCCTTCTCCTTCTCCCTTTCTCTCTTCTCCTTCTCCTTCTCCTTCCCCTTCCCTTCCCCTTCTCCTTCCTCTTCCTCTTCTCTTCCTCTTCTCTTCTTCTTCTTCTTCTTCTTCTTCTTCTTCTTCTTCTTTCTTCTTCTTCTTCCTCCCTCTCCTCCTCCTCCTCCTCCTCCTCCTCTTCATCTACACATACACATTGCACGTCTCCTACCTTCTGAATATTCTGCATTTTCTCTCCCAGTAGGAAAGAGGTAAGCAAAAGTTTAGTTACGTAGCTGAACTTTTGATGGGGACTTTGCAGGCTGTTTCTAAGGGCTTATATTTCGATTACCTTGTGTTTTCTGCCTTAAAGTAGTGGGAATGTCTCCTGCCAGTTTTCAGTGGAAATGGTCCCCTCTGACAGGCCCTTGCTTTAAAGACACAAAGAAGGGCCCTGGCCTGGTTGTACACTGCTTAGAGATCACTTTCAAGACTGGCATCTTGGGAGGCCAAATGAGGGCAAAGCATTAATGAGGAAAGCCTGGCATTCTCCCTGGGGAAAGAGAGTGGTACTCATGGAAACAGATTAAATTGCAAATATT